ATAATATTTAATATTTATCATATATATATATGTATGTATATATATATATGTGTGTGTGTATATGTTGTTGGTACTTTGGATGATTATTTCCACTAGATCAGAGTTTTCCCTCTCCGCTTCATCGCTCGCCTACCCTATCACCTACCCTATGCGTATTTTATATATTCTGTATTTCTCCCCTATTCCTCCCATCTTCCCCTCCCTCGCTCCTCCTTTCTTCTGTTCTTTGGCTTTCTTTCGCGAACTCGCTCGAGACTCTCTGCATATCCGACCGGGCATCGCACGCGAAATGTTCAATGTTTTGTCTATTTCAGTCACAGGAATTCCGCATGAACACACATGATTGATCGATTGGGCATACCGAACTTGCATCCGGCAGCACGCGGTCCTCTTCTCTCGAAAAGATACATACGTTCAAATCTATCATTTTTAGAGTCCCGGCCAACGTCGAATAAAGCATACAGACCGATATTCATAGTCGATTCTCATGTTTAAGATTGTCTTAAATATAGTTTTAAAATGTCATAAATCAATCATTAGAGAGCCGCATTATATAGCTCTTCAGACATTACTCAAGACGATCTTAAAATAAGAACTAACCGGCCATAGTCAATGAAACCATTGCACGATAATCAGACCCCATAATACATCCTAAACTCAATTTCTTTTTATACTTAAGAAATAATCGAACGTAAAAAATATTATTCCCTAACACTGTTTGTTTCTGTATCGTCAGTCTAAAGAAAGACGAGCGAAAGATAAGCGATTCTAAGATAAATATTGCATTTTACATAACGTTACCATCCTTAGATCATTTTCTTTGGTTTTCCTTTGGTTTCTCCGTACTTTGTTCTACTTCAACAACAACAGAAGGTATAGCGTCGTCACTAATAAAAACTTAAAGAGGACTATCATTGGCGACATCGTCATCATCTGGACAATCACAGCCTGGCTGACATTTCTCGGGCGATGCTTAACCGATCAGGCAAAGTCGATCGTCGATCCATAAATCGGACCGAGCCGCGGGATCGATGGCGAGACGGGCGGGGCAATCGCGCGCCCTCACACGCGATTCCTCTCTCGATGTTCACGCAGGAACCACAACGGAGTAGATTATACTTTCGGCCGGAAACTCGCGCGTTACTTACTTAGCGATAATTACAATGATAATCACCATAACCATAGTAGTAATAAGAGCTATTAATCGCGGAGGATGAGCACCGTGCGAACGCGCGCGAGTAGGACAGGATTTTCTCGCTTCCTCCTCGACGCGCAGCACGACGCGCGCAAACTCCTCTTCACGCACACTCTCTCTTTCTCTCTCTCTCTTTCACTCTCTCACTCCTCTATCTGCAGTATATAAAATCTACAGCGCGTCGTACGTGTTTAAACCTTAAACGTTAAGGAGAACCCGATATCCGGCTGGGATGTCGGACCGGCGCTGAGCCCATGTTCGCTGCTATATTTCTTTTTTTTTTGTATTTTTTTCTTTTTCTTTTTTTCAAAGTTTTCAGACGCGTTTCGTCAGACGAGCACCCTGTATAGCGTATGATTGACATTTGTCTTTTTGGGAGAGAGATATCGGACCTCGTCCGCGTCTTCGGGACGAGCCTGCATTTTATCCTACTTTCATCAGTCGCGCGGGGATTATTTATCCGTCCCGTCGTCGTCGTCGTCGTCGCGCGGGATCTTCATCGCGACGACAAAATCGTTCGCTGCGTACGAGTACAGAAGATTCGCCAGCCTCTCGTACTACGACGATCGTCGGAGCTGTTCTGTCCGGCCAACGGATACGACGATCCGGCCTCGTCGAGGGTCCTCGTCGAGGATCAATCTGTCCGGATGTACGAGTTGGGCAAATTTTCCTCTGTCATGGCATCTTTTCCGCGCTTTGCATCGCGCATAGGCGGACTGGCAACGAACAGGACGAGACTCCTAGGGGCGTTTTATCGACGGGATATTTCGTGATTTAGCTATTGTCGGTTTGATGTCGGCTGGACGATCGTCGCGGCGCGATGTCGTGACTCGCGCGTGTAACTATAACGGTGTCGCCATGTATCCGGACGACATGATCGGTTTTAATACTTCCAGTGCTTCTGGTAGATCTCTCCGGATCCTCGAAATGTTCGCGACAGGTTTCGCTGCACGCTCATGTCCATTCGCGCCCTCGTCCTCGAGTTCAAACGTAATCTCTCACCTGGCAGTAGGGACCAGAGGCTAGACTCGCGGAGGACAGAAAGAAACATGCAGATTTGTAGTAGTGTGGGATTGGACGAAAAGGAGACAGGGGAAAGCCGATGTTGTATATCGATGTTGGATTCCGATTATCTGAACATCTGGGAAACGTCGTCTCAGCGTGTCTCGTTCTCTTCTCTCTTCGACTCTTCTTCTCGGACTGGGTTCAGCGCAGAACATCCTTCATCGCATTCGTTTCAGCCTCTTCGCCGCCGCCGCCGCACGAACTTCAACGACGTTGAAGCCGTTGCTGTCCTACTGACTTCTAAATTTTTACCCTCTAATGAATTAACTAGCTAGTATACTAAGTTGTTACGGCGGAGAGCGTTGTAACGGTGATTCAACTCGTCACTCCTGATCGTCGAGCGTCCATCGAGTTCACGTTCTCGGACGACATCTGCAATTCAAAGCGACGATATTGTGTGATATCTGAGATAGGAATGAATAATAAAATTATTTACCATGTTTACCCCAATTAATAATACTAATACTTAAAGAACTATATATAGACTTTTTTTTTACGTCGATATTGCTATTTTAAAATTAATAGTTTTATCGCAACTAAGAGAAAAATGTCTAATACCTCGTACGAACGCAAAAAATGCCTTCTTTTTCGCAAGAAAAAACTTACTCTGTTAGTTACGACATAGGGCGCGACTCGTCCAGATTTTCTAGGCTAGGACGTGGGTTAGTATGGCCGGCTGGCGTCCTTGGGCCTCTTCAATTGGACTTTTAATCGTTTCATCCCTATTTGGAAGCCGTTCATCGCTTGGATCGCTGCATGCGCGCTCGCTGGATTATCGAACGACACGAAACCTGAAAATACCGAACGTTGAATCCTGCAGTGTATAACAGATTTTTCATCCCTCATGAAAATCTTCTTTCGATCATATGAAAATGTAATCTTCATTTATTGATGTATGTAATCGCCAGAAAAGATGCCAAATACAATTTGTATGACACGGGCATTAATTATTAATAAATGCAGTACAATACTAAATATAATACTAAACAAAATAATAATTCAGTTTTATCATAATGATATTCATAGTCAGAGAAATATATTTATATATGATAAGGAAAAGTATAGGTTTAGTATTACTAAATAGTTATTATATTTTGAGGAGTATTGATTATTTGGCAATTAAACAGCAATCTAGGCGAATCAAATCTTCCGTGAAGAATAAAAAGTTTTTGTTCATGAGCTGGATATTATCCTGGAAGGGTAGATTAACGATAACGAAGACCCTCAGAGGGACCGTTTTCCCAAAAGATCATCACGACTTTCTCGATTTAAGCCAATTTTGATCATTAAAGTTGATCCCATTTTAGTTTCGACATCATGGTGATCTAAACCGCGAGTCTCTTCATCTTCCACCCACCCACGGTTCTTTGCTTCACAAATTACTTTTATTTTAGGACCAAAGGGCACCTTGATTATTTCAACCACGATTAGTCTCCGGAAAGTTTGTTGTGAACCAGAGTCAAGTTATATCGAGTTTTCACTGCATAATACATAAAAAAAAAAAGATTCATATAGACATAAATTTTATCCCAATCGCAGTGATTATAATTATATAGCGAATTTTTGACTGAAACTGTTGCGTCAATAAAGAGTTTTTTCGTTAAATTGATCGCGACGAGGAACATGCCTTTAAAGGGATACAAACGTCCACATATTTTTTTTCCCACTGCGGGCATAATTATGACGTGTCGTTGAGAGCCTTATACCTTTTTTTGGGAGGGAATGCGAGTGTCTGAAACAAGAGACAAAATACACGGACGCAAACGTATGAATCGCACGTGGACGAATGTGAAGACCAAGGACCGAACGGACGCGAATGGAATCGTCCAATTATCTGTATCCTCATACTCTCGGATACGATTAATCAAAGGAACGCCAGCGGCTTTTATCCGCATTCTCTGTTTCGGTCTTCTCTGCATAGTCTCTAAAAAAGAATTGCGCAGTTTGATTTTGGCTCCATTGAAACGGCATTCATATTCAGTTCATCCGCTAATACGGACGAGACGAATTAAATTTCCATGATTAAACCACCACTCTCTGATTGGAAACGTGTAAAGTCATTTAGAGTACTGTAGTATGTGACTGATCGAAAGTCATAATAATAATCACAGACATATCCATGTATGTCATGATTATATTTTTACGTTCGATAAATTATACGATTTAAAATAAAAATATATTGAAAAATTTTTGTGAGAATGATATTGCATTGTTTTTAATATTTTTTCCGATAGCTTTCATTAAAGAGAAAAAAATGTTTTAAATCGTATAATTGTACAATATAAAAAAGGAGTGATATTAAAAATTTAGATATGATTTCATATTCACTTCCGTTGTTTGGCGATATGCGTTGACGTTCTTCGTCCTACCTTGTATAATAGTTGTAAGGATTGAGTCAGATAGACGCATCCTTCGTTGTTGCTAGTCGTTCTGAAATTTGTCCGCAGTTACCGTCGCACTTACCAAAGCATTTACTCTGGTTGGTCGCCCGGTCGATGAAAACTTTGGATGAGATGACGTTGCCAAACGGGAGGAACATCTGCATGAGCTCGCCGTCACCAAACTCCTGGGGCAGGTGGTAGATGAACAGGTTGCAGCCCTCGGGTCCTGAGATAGAGCATCCTACCATATAAATCAGAGCACATCTAAACATCTAAACTTGAAGTATAATACTCAAGTTAGAATGTTAGTTCTGGATGAGTTTTGTTCTTCGCAAATATAAATGATTCCACGCGAGAGCTTCAACCCGTTAGCGAGGTCGCCAGCGGGTACTGCTTTTCTTTCTGATTACTTTTTTCTTGTCGGTGTCGTCTTTCTTTTTCTTTGATGAATGAAGATGAATCTGCGGCAGACTCTTGACGACAATACCGATTTCTCTCGTCCGTCCGAGTGCGAAATGATGATGACGTACAACATGATTTTGTCACCCACGAATGATGCGAAATGACGTGAGCATGAATCAAGCGAGAAGTTAAATTAGACTGCGAGCAAATGACAGAAAATGGTATGAAAATGACCGAATGTTAAAACGATTAGAAAGTCATGAGCATTGTTTCACTCATGATTATTAATAGAAATCTCCCGGTTCAAATAACGTTGAGTATTTATACTTTCAAATATACACACACAACACTGGGATTTACAACACAATGACAGATGAGGTGATGGATGCTGAAATGAGTGAATGGGTATGGATGGTGACGATGATAGTGACGACACACTGATTACGATGGTGCGATACTCCCGTATTTTTGCCAGACACGATAATCCGTCGTCCTAGATTTTTTTTCTATATGATTACTCTAAATGATATAAATTTGCCGTCATCCTGCGCAAAAACTCTCTTACGCACGCATCTCGTTCTATTCATATTATATGACAAATTAATTATTATAAATAAAATTAATGCAAATGTTAATGATATATGAATGTAATGTAATTATTGTGAAAGATCATGAGTTACGACCTAGATTTTAAAATTACATTTATAATTTTACATTCGTACTTTCCGTACTTTCATATTCCGTTCATAATTTTATGCATTTTTGCACAATTGATTATCCTACCCTTTCTTCTCTGATCACTTAAGTGGGTCTCTTTTTCGACTTCCGGTGTTAAAATGTCAAAGACATCAAGATTTAATTTAGGCCGGTGAAGAAGAGGCCAAGAGGGAGGGAAGACTATACCCGAACACAACGGCAGTCCAAATAAGGATTTAGCTAATTTCACTGAACTTTATAACTCCGACGTCAATTAGCGGCGATTATGACCGTGGAAACTTCTGCTCTCTTGGCCAGAGCTTCTCCCGACTAACGGACGCATTTAAGTAATGAGATGGCTGCTACTCAACTTTTAGGATGCTACTCATCGCGACCTGTTCGCCTCTACCCCGAAAGATCTTTTGCGGAAAGATTCCTCCGGGAATCCGTTGGAATATGCTAGTCGAATCATCGCAGAGCATAATTGTCTATTTTCAACCCAATTACGACTTCCGGTATGTCGTTGTTCAACGATAATATCGCATGACTCGTTGAACATATTTGCTGGTCGATAAGATTATCATCGCAAATTCCGGCAAAGTTTAAGAATTAATGCGACACAGACAAAATTTTACGACGGTTTTACGAGGATATTTTCATCTGATTCGGAAGTGATTTTCATCGATTGTCCGAGAGTAAAACTTTAATTGCAGTTGTCGCAAATAACGCATCGCGATCAACATTTGCAAAAGTTCGAATCACAAAACTTGATTCACAAAAGGATAAAACTTTCCTATCCTCGGGCATTATTCTATATGCATTTCTGATAGATGTGTAATCCATACTATCGAAATTTGTAAAGTAATTCGTTCGCGGATTGGGAAGTTGTTCGCGCAACGATCTGCAATTTAAAATAAAAAGAACGATTCCGAAACAAATCGTCGATTTAATACAAACTTTTCCGTCAATTATAAATTAATGTTGTTGGATACTTGGTGCCTCGAGAAATCACAAACCTGTTTTGCGGTTTACGCAAAGAGTGACAAACTCTCCCTCTCTTACGCGAAACGACTTCGTCCTGGTAATAACTCGATCGTGGCTGTCACGCGAAACCCAAATTAGCACGAGTGTCGACGGGTTTCCGGTTCCGACTAGGGAGAGCACGGAGGGGAATTGCGGTGGACGACGAAATCACGAAGAACGAGCCATAAATTAAAGCCCGTCGTCGTGCCGCGCGCGCGCGCGCGCGCGATCGTTGATCCTGAAATTGGTTTTCGCCTCTCTAATTGGCACACACGCGGTACGTGCACGCGAATTTAATGAGAACGACTACCTTGTCTACTTCTATGTCTACTTCTGTTCGAAAAGTAATAGTGGAACACGCCGCGTAAAACATCAAGATATCTAAAATTCGCAAATCCATCTCTCCTCGTACAATCAAATATCTGTTAAATTTAACAGTGTATAATTTTAATATAACTAAAATATTATGTAACTTTGTACCTATTTTTTTAGAATATATACACAAAATTTATATGCAGAAGAATCATTTTTTTTAACAATCTAAATATTACTTTTATTTTTAAAATTACACGAATTTGAGTTTTTCTATGCAAAGTTGAATTATTTTGCTTACATGACTGAATTGTACAACGATATATTTATTTTCGCGAGTGACGGTGTTGCCGATCGCGAAACGGATTCGTGTCGATTTCTCCGTCGTACAGAGATCACAAAATCTCGCAATGCAAATATCACCGTCTCGTAGCGAAGCAACAACCAACATTGGTCGACAGCGCAACACCGAGAACAGCCACTGACATCGAGTGCAACGGCGAAACACCGAATTAACGACGAACATCCGAGATACGTTGATGTAAAGAAAAAAAAAAAGATGAAAGAAGGAAGAGGAGAGCTATCCGCATAATGTTAAAAATATTATGACACAGTTATGGTCAGAGAGAAGAAATGTATACGAACACCGAAAAACATCGTGTAAGACGTAGAACACCCAGAACAACGATCAAAGAGCTTAAAGTAACACGGAGCAAGGGTAAACTCGCGAAGCGACAGTCAATAATAGATCGATACCACTGTCATGCAATGATGACAATAACGTCGATTCCCCTTCAGCTCCCTTGGGTTCCGTCCGATATTGCGGCACGCCTAACGACTTTGACATCTAACATAAGTTTCTCCAAAAGATAAAGTGTCAGCACACATACGTTTTCTTTATTTTTACAAAACTTGTATCTAACACAAAAGTTTCCAAGAAGTCAGCAATATGATAAACGTTGCTCTCTTTTGGGGGGGGGGGGAAACTCTTTGGGAACTATTTGTGTTCTTGACAGTGTATTTTACACTTACACACAGAGAAAAATGAAAACAGATATGGAATATATTTGTCATTTCAACTATGTAGATTGTTCAAATATATATAAGAAACAAACAAATGTGAGATATATACATCATACGATATGATACAATTCTTTAATAATAAACAATTCTAAAACAATTAATATTTTAGATTGTTTGACGAGAAACGAATAGAGTGTGATTTTATCTCGTAAAATTTATCCCGTCGGGAAATAAAGTTATTAATAATTTTTGATCAGGGGGAAGAAGTGAGAGAAATCGCGTTGATAAATACGCGAGATATTTGTCATCGCGTACGGGAAATAAATTCGATTAGAGATTTCTCTTACTCTCATCTCGTATACCGCTTACGATTTAATCGCGACGCATGGGAAAATGTCAGAGCGCATCGACGAGACGAAAAGATCAGGCGGAATGAAAATAGGAACGGGTAGAGACGAGCGAGAGGGGGCGGACGTAGCGGTCGGAGCAGAGGGTTGAGGCCGGATAAAACGGAGGCGGGGTAGCGCTGTCGCGGTAAACTTTCCATTATCCTGCGATGTAACAACGGATCGCCGGCGGGCGTAGCGGCAAAGTAATTAAAACTTTCGTTTTATTTGCATTATCTCATTGCGAGGCGTCGTATATTCTAATAATGGCGAGTTGTTAATTGCAATTAGGCGTTGGCTCGCTCAACCCTCTTCTAACCCCGGACTTGCCTGGTCGACTTTTTCCCTGCCGTCGGCTCTCCTACAGTATCTTTCCGCAAAAGATGGCATAGTAAACGACTAGTCCGCGCCGATATATTTCAGAGGCGAGACTTGACTGTCTCTTTGACCGATCGCGTACTTTTACTCCGACTGGTGGTTTTCTAAGTGATCGCATTTTCATACAATTTCGTGCGATGGAAATTAGTAATTAAATTATCGAATTGAAACATCCGTCTTTGAAGCAACCATCTACTTTTCGATGGAAAGAAAACTCGCCAAATACTTAGGATGTTCGAATTGATAAAACTATAGAATCGAGCATTGTTGTATTAAACTAAAAATGACAAACGCGAAAAAGTAAACGGAACACAAAAGATCTAGATCGATTTACTCAGGTATTTCTCACTCGTCATTTTTTTTTTTTTTTTTTTCCGTATAATCGAAGCGATATCGCTGTGCGAGACGTGCAATTACGCGGTACGGTCTGCTGCGGTGGCAGCGGCGTTAGAAGTCGAAACTCTTGCACCTCGTTGGGTGCCGACGATGGATAATTCGTGTCTGGACGTGTGTACGGGACGTGGAACTACAATCTCAGGTCTACAGACGTTCGTGTTTACAGTCAACAGTTAGACGTTGATGAGAGCGTGTTGTACTTACCTTCCCTCTGCGTGGGTGCCACCGCGGTCATCGGCTGAGGAATAGCCTGAGGAAACTGGCCGTAGACGGCGGGGTAAGCTGCGACAATAACAAATAACAAGTACATCATGAACTGTCCACATCTAGATCTGTGCGTGCCATTGCCTATCCGTTCCCCACATAAACCCTCTCTTTCGTCCTTTACCGTATTGCGATATCCGCTGTCGGCCGTCGACGGTAAGAGCCAGGGACAGCGCGAAACCGGCGGCAGCCGGCCGAACGAATATAGGCGTCGTAATTCAATGCAGCGATAGCGCATACATAATGGACGATGACAGTAATAAAAGCCGAACAGTCCAATAAACGTCAACAGATTCAACAGAAATTGCGCTGCCATCGCTAGACAGATTACAATGGTGTAATTTATGACCGTGCGTTTCAGAAGCGTCGGGGACACGTTAATCGGACGCGACCATTTATTCTTGCGATTTGCCGAAGATTCGTCGCGAGGGAGGAAAGGTTAAAGCGTCAACATTAAGAGGATATTAAACGTAAAGAACGCGAGGACACATTTCTGCGTCATTCTGGGGGAGCATGAGAATGCAATTCGAATTATGCGAGTTATTCCGGTGCTCGATATTAATGACAGATTCTGCGATCGCATCGGAATGGCAAGTCTCTCGAGAATTAAGCTTTTTGAACTTTAATTTAGATAACATCTATCCAATTCGAGTCAATTTTATTATTTGTTCAAAAAAAGTTACCTCTACCTCTAGACGTGATTATCAAGTGTACGCTCGAGGTACGAGAAATGCTGATGAATATAACAAATGCTGATCTCTCCAGTAAAATTTTCTCTGCAAAACTGTTATTTCTGGAAGATCCCGCATAATCTTATCGTTAATGCGAAATATGGAAATCGCGCTTCTAGCCGAGTGGCCTGTTTGCTGCCCTGTAAAAGCGAGCGGTGTAGAAGCGAGACTCACTGATACGAAAGCTCGTCTCGTACAGGCGATTCCAGCCGGCATTCATCACGGCGTTTCTGCCGACAAGGGTATTCGTCTCTCAACGTTCTCACCATACCGCGCGACTTTCAACACGATACTTTTGTACGCGAAACCGTCGCAGCCTGCGAAAATGCAACGTTGTATCCGTAGTGCGTCATTAGCCGACACCAGATATTTCTTCAAAGCCGATTCTTGAAACGACGTGCCTCATTAAAATGGGATACGAGAGACCTTCTTAGCGCAATGATGTAGCAAAAGTCGTCTAGGCACAACTGTACGGAATATCCCGTTGCAATTTGCGAAATTAAATATTTAAGCAATCGAGAAAGGAACGTCCCGAGACAAACAACGGTTAAAACGGAAGATTTCGCAGAGAGAGGACATACGATTCGTACGGAATAAGGTTCTGAAATTGGAGAGACATTATCGTAAAAGCGTTTGCTTAATATCATATTACAACGAATCGCCGGGAGATCTCATTATAACAAGCTTTTTGTTACTATGAGATTTTATAACGTCTCGTATTAATGTTGACACCGTCAATACATTAACGATTATTCGATGTAATGAAATTCTAAGATAACAAAATTTTATTTAAAAGCGTTTAATAAAACTTGCCGTAATACAATATTTAACGAAATTGGAGGGGAAAAAAAAAACGACCGTAGAATCAATAGGTATCGATATCACTTCTGATCGACGAGAATCGAAATACGAAATATTTCACATTAAACAGAAGTGCCAGTTATATTTTAATTCGCAATGCGATCTCTGTACGTTTGATGACAATTGGTTAGTCTGTAAATTTGGACCTCGGTATAAACGCTCGCGAGCCCAGCATTATACCGTTCGCTACGCGCGACGTGGCAGAAAGCAAGTACGTCGTTATTAATTATAGCTTGATAAATATTTAAAATGCTCGTGATTGATACCTGTTTGTGACGGATAGGCGAAGCGTGCGCGCGGGTTACGCTCTCAGATCGGCAGAGGCGAATTTTCGCCCCGGAATTAATTATTTCCGTGCAAACATCGCTTTAATATATTCCGATTGACGTTACCCGAGGCCCCCCTCCCCTCCCCCCGGTGCGCGATGGATCAACGTTTGGCGTATGAAATAAATACGCCATCATACGTCGGGGCCGCGTCACGCTCAGATAGAGGTACGCCGTTATTCCGGGATTGCTTTTTTTCCACTCGCTGATCTCGATGGCGTATGTGTACTCTGGCCGAAAATACATAGAAAAAAATATATCGCTTTTGAGTCCTCGGTAAATACGAACCGACGGTGCTCTCGCGCGCGCTCCCGTACGCGCGATCTATACGTTTGTTATGACTCGAATTTGTTGAATTTCCGCCGATACGCTGGAGGTACATTGAGAGAGAGACACGAAGGCGGATTGATCGCTGACACGGATGAGAATAAATGATATCCCCTTTCTTCCTATTATTCGCGATTGTACTTTCGATAAGCGGACAACGGTATCCGATCGAATGGCGTAAACGTGGAATTTGTTAAACGCCCACCCTTCTCTTTCTCCCTTCCGTTACCGAGAGTGATTGGAATGTAATAGAAGTATAGGTCCATCGAGACGCTGATTATCCGTGAAACGAGATCATCCACTTTGTGCCGGGCTTTATCGGATCATAATTTGCACCAATGCGCTGCACTTTGACGCTGCAAACGTCGACGGTCGACGGCGAATAATTCGCCATTGGCGTTGGTGAGGGAGCATGCACGAGAGGAGACGTGTAAACGTTTAAAAACTACAATATAATATGTACACGAAGTACATTTAGAAGGACATCGAAGTACATCGTAGCACCACAGCAGAAGCAGTATAGAACGAAACGTTGACGCGCACACGATCATGTATGACGTGTACGGTGTGTGTATATACGCATGCGACCATAGTTGCATGCAAACAACCAGCAACGCGATCAGCGAAATCGAATTTTTTCGTAGGTAAGTGCTCCGACGGCGCCCGGATAAAAGCACGTAAACGTTGGACGTTCTCTCTGATGCATTTTTTCCCTTTACATACAGACAATCTCCGACCCATCTCACGGCCACACGCACGTTTTTCGACCCGCTCAAGATCGCGATAGGCAACATCCGGGCGAGATGAGTGTTCAAAGTGTTGTCTAGCGCGTGCTAAAACTGATGCCGCGAACGTCGCGATAATGCAAAACGTTACGACGCTAAAATACACACATTCGTGGATTAATTTCAAGTTTACGGAGAAAGAACTTGCGATCTGTCGTTATATAATTCCGTTCGTAAACACATACGACAAAATCTAATTTATATTTATAATAATTTATCTGATGAATAACGATATAAACAAAGTTGAATATATAATTTTTTACGATACGTTTGTACAGTAATTTACAATCGATTGACATTAAATGATGATAAGTATTATCATCGGATATATATGAGAAGTGATTTGTTCGATTCAAAATAAACTCTACGGTAGACGAATGATGGACAAACGTATGTCCGTTTCTCACGTTGCATCTAGTTTTCTAGTTTTACTTCGATAATCGACCCGGTGAGTCTGCTTGGGTGGAGCTGGATGGACGAAACGCGCTACAATCATTGCACGGAAGACACGGACAGGGTAGACAGCACCTTGACAAGCCGTAGAGATAAAAATTGAAGCTGGGGAAACACTTACCGGCCACTCCAGCATAAGCCTGCATTCCAGGATACGCGGCGGCATGCTGAAGTGCCGCCTCCCCGTTGGCCAACCCCTGCGCTGGAATGGACAGATGGAGGGCATCTACACTTCAGTAAGCTCAGCTCTTATCGGGGAGAGGGGCCTAGCCTAGAGGCCCCTGTCGCAATACCCAGTAGGCCAATCAATACCGCTCGATATTTCCACCGACTATATACTCGACTAGTAATAAGTACCCGAACTGGCGATAAAGGACGAAGACTAATGAAGGATTGACTATAAGAATGATTATACGTCGTGAAATACATTGCTCTTGCAGACGCAAAGTCCCGATTTAAATAACGTTTGAAAAATGTATCAATGTTATACGGTTTAACTTAATCGATATACCGACGACTATTTTTATCGTTAATTTTCTGATGCGTCTTGTCGAACATCGAACATAAAGACCAAGGTCCAGTCTGAGAGACCTCGAGAATAACCGTAAAATTAATGTAAAAAGAAAAGACCTCAATGAACGTTTACTTACTAACACTTACATATTTACTCGCTACAAGTTTAATTGTTCATCACTTGAATTGAATCACTCTTGTGTAAACATAAATCTCGCGCTTAGCAAGAGCCAGCGAAGCCCCGCATTGGTGCTAAGTCTTCCGCACATGGACCCCCTGTCGTCATTAATTTCAGCTCTCCTCGCAAATAAACGCCAACGAATGTAACGGCGCTTCCTCACCGAAGTACGGAAGAGTATGACGTGCGAGTACCGCCCGGCGTACTTGGCATGGTACTTGGCCTGCGCGAAGTTATTTACATCCCCGTGGAATAATAAAGTCTGTTGCCGATTGGCCGGGTATTGCGCAGGGGCGGCACGCTGCGCCTGAGTTGATACTCACGTCCCGCATAAGTCTGCGGTATTCCGTTGGTGTAGACACCTGGATCCGAACCTGCTGGCTGGCCGTTCGGCGTTTGAGCGGCCATGTTAAAATTGGGCATCGTTGGCGACGGTAACGACGGTAGTGCTCCGTTAACCGGTTGCCCTGTGCCGGTACCTACGAGCAAACCTGATCAGTACACACCGGTTACCCTCTTGTACTTTCAACACCAACCACGATCGTCCTTTACACGAAGCATCCGATCGGAACGCAGTCTTTAATTTCCTCCTCTATTCTTTTTTTTTTTTTCATTTTTCCTCTGCTATAAATATAACATTGATTGTGGGAAAAGACCGTTAATGATCCGTATATCTTGCAAGGCATTTGAAGTATCAAACATACTACGAACCGTTGGATTGATTTCACAAATCAGAATATTACACCGAGTTAATATCGTAGAACTATCGATTAGGTCAAAGAGTCACGTTTAATTTTTTTCTCTCTCTCTCTTTGTATTAGTCTAAGCTTTGTGCACCGTTCTTGCGATGCAATACTACTGTAACTATATGCTTGTTCTTGAATTACGAATTTAGTTTCCGGGGAAAAGGTCGTGTTTATCGATAATAGTTTGCGTCCTGTCTGTGTCAATGATACGATTCGGATCAGCGATCAAAGCCTTGCGTTGCGCTAATAACGCATTGATCGCGCTGGTGACCAACGTTTGGTATCACGTCAATATGACTCGGTGTAGGTAATGAGACATAATTATGTTTGGGCAACATCTGTTATTTCTATCGAGTTAGCACGTGACTATGGGAAATACGCAGTCAAGGGCACACGATAATGATAATATCGGCGCGTTTATGATTCAATCGATCGCAACCTTTTGAAATTACAAACATGATTGTCAATAATGATTTTCGTTGCGATATAATTTCAAGTTCTTTAACCCTTTGAAACTGATGTCAAAATCTGTAACACAATTTACTAACGCTGGGTCTATACAACCCATTTAATTTATGTTAATTAAAAAATACTAATTAATCTCAAGGAACCAAAATAACTCGTACAAAAAAGATATTAATATTAACTCTTAACCACCATACTACGGAAACAACACACTTGGGTATACCCAACAATTTAATTGTGATATACGTTTTCATAAAAATGAAAATATTGTAAACTATTAAAAAACCAGATATTAAGGAACATAACGGTACCAAGCAAAAGTATATATCTTTATTAATAAAATTTAGGAATTTATTAATAAATATTAAGAAAGTTTTTTGTAAATAATGGAAAAAAACATTTAAAAAGCATTGGAAAATAAGTCAGATATGCTGTACTGAAAAAGCGTTTAAGAGCTAAGTACATTTCAACAAAAATAATCCAAATGCGAATGTAACATAAAGAAAATTGAATTATTTGGCATTAAAAAAAATGTATAATTGAGTATGTCCAGTTAGCTATGGAGAGTTTAAAGAAACATCACAATTTGCTGCTAAAGAGAAGTAAGCACCGATACTTTAATACTTTCGAATCGGGTCTACGGAAAGGTGAAAGATCAGGACGGAGAAGAATCTCGATGCCTCGATAACACTCGGATTACGTTGTATGCGCTCACATCGTCGCTCATAGTCGGTTACGTTCATCGGATATGACGATACCTCGTAAACTTAAACTTCCATGACTGCGCGATACACGTCCCGGTATTGTCGATTCGGTTAGCGATTTCTATACAATGTGAGACTTACAGCGATTTCGTTCGATACTATAAAATACATCGCGCTTGCGATCAAGGATCCTTCATTAAACTGTGCATGATATAAATTCCATAAAACTATAATGAAGCTACACGGAAAAAAAACGATTTTACTAAAGTATCTAAAAATTTAGCTAGACACAGCAAATAACTTTGTTGGACTAAATAATTATATAAACGTCTAAACTTGCTAGAATATCAAAACTTTGTAATGTTGCTCATAATAATGCTTGTGCATTTTACATATAATTACATATAATTTTGATGACCCAAATTATTTTCAAATCTGTACTCTCTCTAAATTTGAGTCAGTAGATAATCACAAATATCAGTCCCAGAGATGGCAGTATGATAATTAGTGAAAGTGAAATTTACAGTGAAATTCAACTAAAAAAATCAATGAAACATGGAATCCTTAACCTTGCTATCTTTGTTTCAATGTATAAATTCAATGTATATGCTATTGGAACTGACGTGCAAATATCGACATTTTAACTATATATGCTTATATAACTTCCTTTCCTTTCAATTAAATTTCACTGATTCAGATTTAGAGAGTAATTTAAAATATTTCATTACTTAATTTTTAAATACTTCATCGCAAAATTGCTTTTTCCATGTACATCTTGAGCAAATCCCTAAGCAGTTTGAAGTACTACTTTTAATTGAAGTAATTTAATTTTCAATACTATATTATCGACGACTTTTAGTCCGACGATTTGAAATGCACGCGATTATTGGTAGGATTACAGCTACAGAATGATTCCCGAGCACGCAGATCTACCTGCCAATGCCACCCTGTATACACGCAGTTTGCGGTTATGCTGTCGTTCGGTCGAAAATAAAAGCTCGCTGCTACGGTAATCTTCAGTACGGAGTAAAGCGGACGGACGCGGCGAAGCCAGGGAGTTCGGCGGAGAAATAAAATATTATTTCCCTATCAAACGGTATTACCTTCCGCTCGACGAGACTCGACGTATAACGGAGCCGATTTCCGCGCTTACTTTACTTCTCTACAGCACTTCGACCTCTTCCGCTGTTTCTTGCATTGCCATGCCGAGAGAGAAGGAAAACGGGAAAGAAAGGTGTGAGCAAAGAAAGGGGCAAGGAAGAGGCGTTTCTTTAGCTTCCCTCTTCTCCTACAACGAGCTTTCGATAAAGTTTTGCGGTACCAGCAATATCTCTCGCTTGAGTCACGTTCGATGAAAATGTTGTATTGATTTACGAGTCGGTTATAAGGCAACCGACTGCACGCCTCGTCTGTCGCGAGAATCCAGAGAAACTGTAGAGAGAAGCAGGAAGAAAGAGCGACCGGACGGGAGATATGTTTTATATCACTAAAATCGGACAGCTCTCTCTCTCTATCGAGTTGATGATGGATAATTCGTGTGCCCTCGAGTGTGTTTCTTTCCTTTTCCGTAAAATGCACGTTTTATCGGATTGGTGTGCTGTTAACTTGGAATTGATTAAATTAATCAAATTAAAAACATTTTTTCACTTAATCTTCGTAAATTGTCATTAAAATAATATCTTCTTTACCAATATTAACAAGATATAACATTATACTTTCATTATGGTTCAATATTTTATCTTAACAACTGAATAATCACTTTCTGATTAAACGAGAATATTGCAATCGACAAATGTACCAACAATATAAAAAAAAAAGTTAGATAACATAGAAGAATATATTCGCGAGAAAACAACCACACATAGATATTCTTAAGTATAACAAAAGTTTCTATGAAAAAGTTTAGCTTAAATTGAATTTCTTGAAGAATATATAATATTTCGGAGACGACAAATGAGTTCTTTTCTCACGAATATTTACGCGTCGTGAGGTATTCTAAGTTTCTTATACCCAGTTCCATCAATGTAAGATTAACTTTAATCTCAGTTTAATTTACTTATTATCTTTTTCTAATTTTTAGCATTAGAAAAAGATAAACAGTAAACTAAACTAACGGGCATTAGCCGAGTATTCTTACCAGAGGTTGGTGGAACCACAGGATTTGGCATGCCGTTCAATGTATGCGGTAACTGTCCAGCCAACGCGGTCATTGGATTGATGTACGTTCCTTGTGCAGTCGCTGCTGCCATGAGCGCTGCTTGCTGCTACAATATAAAGAGAATATCATTGTCAGAAAAAACGTTTTCTCTTGAATTATAATAATAAAGAAGGAATATATATATTCTTTTCCCCTTTATTATTATTTTAAAAAATTACTTGAAAAAAACACATGAAGAATATTTGCGAAATCAAAGCAACCACTTTTGTCAAGAAAAACTTTATTTGAATTTAATGGAAATAGGAGTACGTGTACCTGAAACATCATTAGATGAATATTCATATTATATTATAAATATGATAGTTATAAATAGAAAAATATTAAAATGACATTTATCCTTTACTGCAAACCTGGAAAAAAATTAAACGGCGAAAGGTGATTATGAGAGACCTCTTTGCATGCCGGCGTTAACGCGATGGCATCGAGTTTCGGCCGATCATTTCCGAGAGTAACGAGGGACGAACCATCGCAGATTGTGAGTCGTGGTAACGAGGACAACAAGGCGGTAGGTAATGCGGTAACGCGAGAGCCATTAATGGTAACATGACCCACCTGAGCGTAAGCGTTGTAAGCGCCGAAATGATTGAAGAAGGGGTTAAGGATGCTCATGTTCCCGGCCATTTGCTGCATGCGTCTTATTTGTCTCTCTTTATCAGTGTCTGCGAATTTTACCACTATGCTGGATGACGCACCCTGCAACAGATAATACATGTTGTTGATTTCTCGCTTTTATAACGTCAGAATTTTTACAGTACGACGCAGTTTTATGATATACGAGAACTACAATGTACATTTTAACGACCTCTTCACCGAGCTTTATTATTTATAGCATGTGTTATGACCAGCGTACGGGAAAACTGTTTTAATTGGGCTTTTATAATTAAAGGAATAATTGGAGATTCTTTTTTATACTGCTATATTTTATAATATAATGTCTAACACTCTCTTTTATTTGATAGATAGCAGAATTTAAGTCAATTTCTCATGTGAGTTTAATTAATAGAAATTGTCGAATAATTAAAAACCGCATGAGGCTTTTCTACGAATTTCAACATTAATAATTCTATCAAAATTCGATGATTGTATAGCCATAATTGTCGAAAAAATTCATAATGCAATATAATATATCGAATCTGTCGCACGAGAAGTAAAATTGTATCATATATACTCTCCAGACGTGAAGGAGCACAAATGTAGGTACAAAACGTACGAGACAAATAAGTGATTCAAGATCCTTTTACATTAAAAAAGGACTTCTTCTCTCTTTCGAAGTGCTCGCGAGGATATGTAAGGCGATGACGTTCTCACGATGTCTAAAATATAAATGGAAAGGGGCAACAGGTGGTCAGTGGCCATTGTAGCTGCGGAGAAAAGCTCGGCATTCGAGCTCCCGGTGATACATTATATTCACGTCATCAATGCAAATGCTGGCTGGGCGTTCCTGAGTTTATATAACGTTTGTAGTGTTATAACTCGCGTAACAAGACTTTCAGCTTTGGTCACGCGACTTTGCATGGCGCACTTCATCATGCTTTACTCGCGTGCATCTCTTCTCACTTTTTCCACATAGCTTTCAGGCTTTGTTTCAACATTCCTCTTTGGAGAGCCTAAGATGTAATTACTATGAAAATAATGTAATCTATCTGTAAGGATATTTATATAATTCTTCCCAATTAATTCATATTTTTTTATGATTTTGTCAGATATAATTTTGATACGACGTTTATTGGTTTCGTCCTAATTTATGCATTGACATTAAATCGATACTGTTATGATAAATCTATTATATACAAAAATCTCATGCCGCACACAGAAATTAATAACGATATAATGAGAAACTAATTTCATACGAAATTGTGTTATTCATGTTAAAAAATCAATTTACTAGATAAATAAATGCGTTTATTTCCTGAAAATTCTTACAGTAATCAACCCTTATATTATATATGTACAAAACTCGTTAATTAAACCCGTAATAAGGCTAGTACGCTGATTAAATTAAATTGTTCAATAATATGTTATTAAAATTTAACTTAATTAAAAACAGATATAAGATACAAGATCTTAACCAATATTAAAAAATATTAGATATATTAAGTTAAATCCATTTAAAACATAATTAAATTTAATTAGGTAATTAAAGAGATGGATAAAATCTTTAAAATTATCAGTCATTTCAGATAGAGTTAATCATACATATGATAAAAATAGCATAGACATTGAAATGAAAAAAGGAAAAATTTGATCTCTGGCGTGACTGTTATTACATTGACAACAATTGGAGCGTATATCGATAATCGGTCGACTGTCTTCACCCTGTGGCAATTCTCGACAAAAGGCTCGGGGCCGTTATTCATCAGCGAAGCGCATACGCTGGCCGGTGCAATTGCTTGTAATTTAACGACGAGGACACAGTCGGAGTCGGACCGGTAACGCGATATATCCGCTTGACAGATTTCCACAGAACGTCACCTTGTGATACATCGTGTCCCGTTCCTATTAGATCGAACGAGACGTCGCTTCGGTGATTTCAAAGACAATCCTGACGAAACGTTTTCAGCGTGCGCATGCAACCTGGCACTCCCGGCAGTCCGCCCTGACATTCTCGTTGTAATGCATGTGCTACTACGCGTCGAGGTGTGTACCTATGTGCGTTAAATGCTCGCCTCTAAAATGAAAGAGAGGGCGATTTTGTGCGACGCCAATCGACGCTGTCAGAAACACTCGCTCGTGTCGCCGCGCCAAATTTTGCTTTCATTATTTTTACTTTTTTCCCTACGTCGTTTTTGACCCGAATGGGCGTTGACGCGGCAAACAAAATCACGCTCAGCGAACAGCTTTTAGAGAAAAGCTCTCCTACCGTTTTCTCCTATTGTACCCTCGTAGCTTTCATCTAAATGTGTAATGCGAGCGAATACCATCCCGCTCTCATAGGAGAGAAACGTAACTTCCGTTAATTTTCGGAATATTCTACATGAGCGAGAGTGAGTTAAACAAAGACGAACGAGAACGAACGTTCACGTCTCGCGTTTTGAAATATACGCGTACCTCGAAACTCAGAGATACAGCGTTATAATCGAAGACCCAGAACGGACCTGGACTGCGTCATCCATGTGTAAAATTGATAGATAAAAATGAGAGAAATAGAACGCAAAGACGGTCAGTCTCTATCTGTTTTTATTCAACTAAACACAATATCTTAAAACTGAATCTCTCTTTCTCATTTTTATCGATCAATTTTATACATAGATGACGCAGTCTATAAGTCTGTTCTAGATCTTTGGTTATAACGCTGTATCTCCGAGTTTCAATCACATTTGACCACATTTGATGCACTATTTAGATACAGAGTGTATACTCTGTGTTTGGTTATAACGAGCTTCGAATCGATAATACATAGGTACAAGATCGAAGATTCGGAAGGTTACCGTGTAACCTCCCACGCGAGGTCACGGTTGAAAATCACCGTCTTTTTAATCCGCGGTTTTACCTTCGGCAACACAAATACGAAATACGCCAACACACGCTGTATTCTGTATTTGCGAGCATTGAAGGGCTTGCACTACACACGGGCACCTCGATTATTAAAAGTTCCGTTCGCGGTCGGAGCCCGAACGAGGTCAAACGCGCGTATAACCGCGAGCGTCGCGAGAAAATCAGCGACGAGCTTGCCGTATACAAAGTCGTAAAAGTTTCCAAGAGTGGATGTAACTTTCCGTGTTACTGTAACTACAACTAATATTGGGAGTTTTGTGCGATACTCCTCCCTTTTTGCCTCTCAGCTATACGCCCCTGCGTTACTCCAAAGCTTTGCAAAGAAGCAAAACTGTGAAACGTTAAGATAACTTTACGTTCTTTAAATGCTTTGTTTGTTTTCCATATTGTAATATATTGAATCTGTCTAAAATCTACCGATTCCCCAAATTATTTAATAAACGACGCGAATTATTTAAATAAGAAATTTAGTAATATTTTATTCGAATATGTGTGTGTTCAAGCTTTTAAATATTTTTTGTAGCCTTGAGCAAAGTAATCATAAGATGTACATCAAAGAAGTTTTGCCTCTTTCTTGCACATATAAATTCTTTCATTCTTTTCTCAGTTGTAATTTTGTCATATCTAAAAGAACGGGAGAAGGGAGTTTTTGTTCTTCGCAAGAACGAACCCACTTAAAAGCAACGACGATGGTCATGTATGGAAGTCTATATATTTCCTCTTTTCACAGACAGTTTGTCGAAACATTTTCTGAAAGTTAATTGTAATATAATGACGAAAATCTTTATAGCGTAAAGAACTTCCGAGCTAATTGCAAGACTTTTAAGTTCGCCGAGCACATCGCACGCTCTAAATATTAATGAGTTCGAGGTCAGTGTTGACGCAAAGAAAAAAAAAACGACAAAAAATTCGAAACGTCGAATTTCCGAGTAGATGCCACGGTATGTGTCTATCCACGCGCGTGTTACACCCTTTCGTGCGAGAAAAATTGTCGAGCCGCGCCGGTTACACGCCACTGGTGAACGGCATCGACGCATGCACGTCTGAAAGATAATTTGTCTCGCGTCGACAGTCTCGAGCTTCGAAGCCTTGTGCGCCACGCAGGTGTAACGTAGGTAACCATAAGGTGTATGTGACATTTACGCGAGCACACATATGTACGACGGTGCGCGCACGTGTGTGGCATAGAGAAGATGAGGCTGGAACGGGGCGAGACGCGGTTGGGGTTGCAAGGGGAGGATCGACGAGGTCGTATCGGAGCCAGTGAAGCCGAAGCCTCATTATTGGGGGATTACGGTTCATTAATTCCGATCCAACGTTCTGAACTGCACGCGGAAAGGAAAAGCCGTCCTCCCGAGAGCCGGGGGGTATCATGCGGAGAACGTTTGAAGCCGCCGGCACCGCCGCCTCCCCTTGTTCGTTATGTCTGTCCTACGTGTCGCCCCCATTAAAGTTGCCCCTTTAAAAATGTCGATATTAAACCGCGTGCTTTTTCTTCCATTATGATTTCGTGAACCGACGTACGTGGGGACTCTGTTTGATGTTTCATCCATGCGTAGGACGTTGTCTGATCGAATTCGGACTTTCACCCTTACGCCCTTAGGGCTAGAGAGATTCGTTGATGATTGATGCTCTTTATACCTATTATACCCGTTGGCGTTTTTAATACCTACTCTTTCAGCATATTTCTCATTAACTGCGGATACCGACCATGGCTCGATTGAGAGCTCCAAAATAAAAGTTGATAAAATCTCTGCTGCCTCCACTTGGAGGAACATCTCGCGTTGGAGCTTAGCTCAGAGAGCCACAATATTGAGCAGGCCTTGCCAACGGAATGAAGCAATTACCTGCTGATTGGAGGCTCTCACGTTAGCCGCACCATCACACTTGCCAATCCGTTGGACGGTAATTTCAATAGATTCAACTGGAACCGCAAGACTGACCGGAACGCCGATTGCCCCTCGTCCGTGATTCTCTATCGAATCGAAATACAGAAGCGGGCGGTTTAATTCGTCGATGTGTCGCAAATTACAAATCGCTTCTGCGATCCTTTTAAATGTTGATAGAAAATAACTAATTGGAAAAAACCGTTGCGTGTAAAACTTGAAATCTGTCAAAGTTATCAAAATAGTATGGACAGATTTAGAGCACGCTCTCAAAAGATTGAACGGTAGTAGGATAAAAAAACGAGACAATAC